CAGGGCCGTAGCCAGGGTGAATGGACAACCGAGGCAAGCGGCCGCCGATGGCGGGAGAAACTAGGGGGGTCTGGGGGCATTCTCCCCCTAGAAAATTTGAAATTCAGTCTCTCGGAAATGCAAGTTGCAGCGTTTTGTGGGCCTTTTGGTAACTCTTTATTGATCAGATTTAACCGGAATTCATCATGCAATATTTATGAAACAAAGAAGCTACACGTACAAAAATAACATTATTTTTATATTTTTTGCACAAAATCAGTCGTGCGAAATCGGCTCTGAGAGGCTAAGATAATATTACTGATGAAGAACAAAAAGCATCGGCAAAATTTTACCGAGGCGAGTGCCTCGGTTGGCCTCTTACTAGCTACGGCCCTGATTTTATGTGTTGTTTATAGAACGAGAGTGCGTGTTTTATCGGGATATATAGATTCTATAGTGGATGTCGGCACATTGATTCAAACTGATTTAAAACCTATCAAAGGTCTACGGTGCGACATTAAAACTGAGACCTTTGCTAGTGTTGGGTTGCGATAAAGCGCTGATGAACTTGTCATGATCAGTTCTTTATATCTGATATAGAACTGATTAATAAAACATCAGTACTTTATCGGATATAAAAGCCTATTATGTGACCCAATAGTTCGATGCTCATTGGACTAATAGCTCATGAATTATTAATGAGTTCTAGGAGGAGGCACTTGAAAGAGATTTGCCGAAGTTCAAACAGCACTACCCTGATGGAGTGTCCGAGTACTGGGAGGATTGGCTTTCAAATCTTGATAAAATGAAACGTTTGTCAATAGTCGAGTTTCGCGATCTCTTTTACGCTGTGTTAGCCTCAATTGTGTGCTAAAATATTCAGAAATGTAGATAAAACTCGTGAGATTTCAAACTATTTCCATTGTCTTCTATACTCACAGATCTCGTGCATTTGCACGGGCTGTTGTGAATAAAAGAATTATATGGTTTTGAGCATAAAAGAGATCGCTAAAAGGGTTTATTCAAGCAATATGTCCACTAGGGGATCTTCTGTATTCAAATAGACTTAAGCCAACGAGTGATGATGATGCAGACATTCCTCAAGAGGTGTTGAGGAAAAGAGAAAAAGAAACAGAAGAGACAAGAGAGGTATTTAAAGCATTTAAATAAAATTGAGACAATTTAAAATAAGTATAAAATTTTATCAATATCAACTCCCATATAGTTCTTCATGTTGCTTACTGCATTTGTAATAGTTTGTTAATTTTT